AATAATATTATTAATAATATTATTAATAATATTATTAATAATATTATTATAATTTTCAAAAAATTATTATTTTATTTACAAAGAATTGAAATTTATTGTTAATGACTTTAACTTACCCATTTCTGTTTTCTTGAAAACAAATATTCCAATTATTGTTAATAAATTGTTAATAAATTAAGTGTTTTGTTAAACAATTTCTTGAGTTATAAGTTTATTGAATTTATTAACCACATAAACTGAAATTCAACTAAGAAGTTTCAATTGTATTTATATTTAATTAATTATTAATATTAATATATTAAATATGTTTTTATTTTAACATATTCTAATAGATTTAATAAATTCATATATTTTTATATAGTGAAATATTGTTTCGACATCTTTTCCGATACTTTCATATGTTATATGTTACCACTAACACCACACGTCAATTGGATAATTTTTAGATAAAATAGATAAACACTCGGTTTGTTAATATTAACAATTCACTGATTCGCACTGATTTGCACTGAATTTCAATTGAAATTCAAATATAACGAAATATCCTTTACCGCCTTTTCTGTCAGAAAAGGCTCAGAACTCCGTGTGAAGCGTTTAATCGAATGGAATCGGTGTGCGGCACACTCCAAGCACAAAACCAAATGAGCAGAAATCGCAACGTAAATATTCTTCTAAGCAAATTTCCACTTCAATTCAGATACCAAACCGACCGCTTGCCACCATAGACGAACTGACAATGAATGCCGCCACATCAGTATCGCACGTTGAAAGCTGAAAGCTGAAAACCGAATGTGCTTCTGTCGATGTAACGCCAAAAGATACATTCAAAGTGCAAAGGAAGCTTGCGCAGACGTACTAGAACGTGGTGAAAATGTATCTAAAACAATCGACAAGTGTGCATTTTCCCACATCAACACAATTCTGCCGTGGTAGATACTCGTAAAACCTCAACTTCGTGCCGTAAAGGCCAAAAGGTAAAACTTATCCGCCACAAACGAAATACTTATTCGTACAATGATATTTTTCTATTTTAGATATTTTTAGTTCGCCCATTTTGGGTTCAACGATGCTAATGTTGTGTCTAATGAAGTGTAAGATTGCTTGTTTACGTTCATTTTGCTTGAACACTACTGTTCCAAGCACATGACTACTGAAGCAATTCACATGAGTACACTGAACTGTTCACTGATAAGCAATCAAAATCAAACATTCTGCTTCAAGACTTTCAAGTGATTTTTTAGACAAAATACCATTAATAACAACTGTCAGTATGAGTAAGTACCGGTTTATATTATCCTAGAGACCTACCTCTACTTTCTGCAACTTGCCAATAACAGATGAAAAGCACTTAAGTCATATACAACTTCCAGTTAAACATGACCCAACTATAATAAAAATAAATCCTCGAAACTCATCATAAGGGACCGCGTGAACACTGCAAGATTTACTGCTGTTCTTACTGCTCATTGGTGTGACCACTAAGAACTTCTCACTGCAGAAGTTGTGGAAATCCGCAGGAGAAAGAAACCATAATACATATTCTCTGTGAATGCCCGGCTTTAGCGTCTAGAAAATATAGGTTCTTAGGAAAATACTTCTTTTATCATATTTAGTTTATCAGACTGCTCACCGATGAAGATGAAAGACCTATTAAATTATCTAAATTCGGCGGGATGGATTTAGTCTCTACTCTTCTATACTAGGGTTCCTGCGAGAAATGTGGTAGCAAAACGGCGAAAAACTAATTGAGGTACATAAAGTTATCTAATAGCCTGCCACTGCAACCAACCAACCATGAGTAATCGACAAAAAGACAAATAATAAAATACAATAGTCGATACTGTCAGCCGATATAGTCGAATACGTTATTTAAATCAAAAATGTCAAAATACTAGTTATCTAGCACATATCTCTTAAAACACAAGACATGAGATTAGAACTCAAAAATCTGTGTTAATAAATAAATCAAGGCTCACAATTATCAATCGACAACAAATATATACTCTATATACCTATGTATAAAGTTTCATTCGAATAAGCTTAATAGCTAAGTACTTTATGGGGTCTAAGATGTTTCCTGTAATACGTTTTTAAAATCTTGACAAATCTTATTTACCATTTTTACACAAATATAATGTTTTGTGTGAGGGGTATAAAAAGATTACACCTCATATACCTATTATAAGTCCAATGATAAACGGATAATTTATTTGTGCTTTTAATTTGATAGCATAAAAAATAAAATTTAAAAAGCACTTTTAAGGTGCAATTAACACTTTTTTCTATATATATATAATCTATATATATGATATTTATAATATAACATTGCTGTGATATTTAGTATGTTAGTATAGTTTAATATAAGAATTGGGTGTTCTGTACTCTCAAAAACACGTATGAGTTAGCATGACTTAGGTGTAAAAGGGACTCATAAATAAATACTCAGAATTTAATGTACCTCTATTGGATACAGATTATATTTATATAACTTTATAATAATATAATTAAAGCAAAAATCAAAATTGTATGAAAAATTAAAGTAATTTTCTAAATAGTTAAATAAATACGTATTACTGCTGAACAAAGAACGCATCTTATATTATAGAATAAGTGGCAACGCTTGATGTGTGTCAATGATGTGTGTGTGGTTCTATGCTCATATAAATATATGAGAATTTCTAGAGTATATAGAGTACAAGGTATATCACTCATATAAAAGTTTAATATCTATTCGTTTATCACCAAGTTATAGCGCAGAGTTAGCGCATAAAGCTATGTCCATAAGTCTTGATGTCCTAAATGTATTTGAATGCACGTAATATGCCTTTTCAAGATTTTTTTATAAACAAACTCCTCTGAATAAGTCTGCATTTAAATAATTTTATTTTGAATATAATTTGAAAATTATGCAATTGAGTAAAATATATACACTGTCATTATGTGCCCTCCCAACCTAACCTTACCTAACCTAACATTATATTAATTTTAATAGTTTAACAAAAAACATTAGTCTTGTAAATTAAAAAAAAATCGTCAAAAATTTTAAATAAAAAAAATCTTTTTCCTAAATTCTCAAAACATATTTTAATATTTTACTTATACGTATATCTTTAATACTGATTTCAAGTATTATATATTTTTTATATATTGTAATTGTAAATACACCAAGGAAATAATAATAAAATGGACTTTTATTTTAATCAAAAAAAAAAAAAAATTAAAATTATTTTATTTGAATTATCCAATATATAAAATTTGATATTCCTATTTCTATAGATTTTTATACGACAATATTTCGAGCATAAAAACTCTTGCGACATTCCACTGACTATTCCACTGCAAATACTAATTATTATTATATGTATAACAGCCTGAGCTCAACAACTGGGTTTTGGACTCAATTCTCAATGAAGTTTGGAGAACAAAATTCGATTGCACATCTTATGCTTAAATCGATCTGGACCTACGCTATGCAACTTTCGGTCACTGTACATTTAATGTAGAAATATTAGAAAGGAACAATCACTAATATTTCGAAATATGATCATTGCTCCATAGTATGTACCAAACGACTTCAATCAGGAATTTTAAATAGATATTACAATGTATTAGCTGTAAGCGTTCTGAATAAAAGCCTGAAACCTAAACGTCTCCAAAACGAGATTGTTAAGCTTAGAACCTGGATTGTGTATACCAGTTTTATAGTTTTGTAGTTATGAATACATAATTACAGTCATTTTCAATTTGGTTTTGTCCTCTAAGGGACTTTCGAAACCGCACAATTAAGAGAAAATTGTGAAGAAAGGATGTCACCTTCAAAGTAAAACGATTAAATACTAAATAACCCATCAATGCCCGATGTTTCTAACTGCCGCCAACGACCAAAATGCAGAGGCCGCTGAATATTGTTTTATGCGATCAAGATAGACATGCGGTTGTAGTGTTCAATCAAGTCAATAAATAATTACTAAAGCCGTGTGCGACTTCGAGTAAATTGAGGTAAAGTAAATTGAAATTTCCTACGGATTTTTTGCACTGCACTTATGTAAGTATTTATGTAAGTATTTATTTAATTATACATTATATTAATTTTAATAGTTTAACAAAAAACATTAGTCTTGTAAATTAAAAAAAAATCGTCAAAAATTTTAAATAAAAAAAATCTTTTTCCTAAATTCTCAAAACATATTTTAATATTTTACTTATACGTATATCTTTAATACTGATTTCAAGTATTATATATTTTTTATATATTGTAATTGTAAATACACCAAGGAAATAATAATAAAATGGACTTTTATTTTAATCAAAAAAAAAAAAAAAATTAAAATTATTTTATTTGAATTATCCAATATATAAAATTTGATATTCCTATTTCTATAGATTTTTATACGACAATATTTCGAGCATAAAAACTCTTGCGACATTCCACTGACTATTCCACTGCAAATACTAATTATTATTATATGTATAACAGCCTGAGCTCAACAACTGGGTTTTGGACTCAATTCTCAATGAAGTTTGGAGAACAAAATTCGATTGCACATCTTATGCTTAAATCGATCTGGACCTACGCTATGCAACTTTCGGTCACTGTACATTTAATGTAGAAATATTAGAAAGGAACAATCACTAATATTTCGAAATATGATCATTGCTCCATAGTATGTACCAAACGACTTCAATCAGGAATTTTAAATAGATATTACAATGTATTAGCTGTAAGCGTTCTGAATAAAAGCCTGAAACCTAAACGTCTCCAAAACGAGATTGTGAAGCTTAGAACCAAATAGTGTTTAGGGAGATTTATAAAAAAAACTTATGTATGTAAGATATTAACATATAACGATCAATGGATATCAATTTTGCTATTATTTTTTGTCGAAAAATTTTCAATATTTTTTGTAAAAAATATAGACTGCTGACAAATTTTGGGTCTAATTAAATTTAAATTAATTTACAAGATACTAAAAATTAAATAAATCTCTGTTATATTTCACTTACAATTTTTAGTTTATTTTTGATGGAGTTATAATTTTGACTTGATTTTGTACGTATAAACATAAATATGTATCGAAATCCTTATATATGTATAAATGTATGACAATTATTATATTAAAGTAAATTATTTTCGTTTTTTCTTTCCCTTTTTCTTTCCTTTTTTCTTTCCTTTTTTTCCTTTACCTTTTTTACTTGATTTTTCGGATGGCGCTGATGTATCAGTGGTTGCAGTAGTTTCTGACGTTCCAGTCAGCGTAGATGGATCAGATTTTTTCTTTCCTTTTTCCTTTCCTTTTTTTCCTTTACCTTTTTTACTTGATTTTTCGGATGGTGCTGAGGTATCAGTGGTTACAGTAGTTCCTGACGTTCCAGTCAGCGTAGATGGAACAGATTTTGCAGATGATTGCGGAGTTCCTGTTGCTGTTCCTGTTGTTGTTCCTGTTGCTGTTCCTGTTGCTGTTCCTGTTGCTGTTCCTGTTGCTGTTCCCGTTGCTGTTCCTGTTCCTGTTCTTGATGCTGTTCCTGTTCCTGTTGCTGTTCCTATTTTTGTTGGATCTGATGCAGTTGTCATAGTAGTTGTTCCAGAAATGTGTTCTCCAAAAGGCATTCCTTCATATGCTTCATAACTACCGTAAGAGAATTGCGAAGATTGGCTATTAAACGAAGCTTTACTCTTCCTTCTGCTACCTAAGTCAATTGATTGACTTCGTTTCTTAACTGAAAGCTCCTCTTCATTAACAGCCAAACATAGTTCTATAAAAGCATGTAAATATGGACTCTTTAACATTACAGTCAGTTGCAAAGCCTCATCAAGCGCTTCCCTAACAAGCTCCGTTTTATGCAAAGTTGCATGCGATTTACACACTAACATTGTACTAAGGAATGACCACAAATGACTATGACTTGCTCTTGCCTCTATTGTTATTCATAATTAATTATATATTATTAAAAGTTACTTTTATTTATATATAAAAATATACTAACCAATAATCGCTTTTCGTGCCATTGAGCAGCACATATCGAAACGTCTTTGGCGAAGGTGAGCATTTGCCATTTCATGCAACAAATAACATTTCTCAATAGCGTATTTTGCAAATCGCATTCGTTTTTCAAGACGAGACAGAAAGTTCCTAAATGGAAGATAATTTCTAAATGCCTGTTTCTTTATAAATAATATGACCTTTAACTGACCTGTAAGCAATGAATGTGTGATCAATAGCATCTGGTTCTTGGTATGTTGATTTATCACCGAATACAAATTGTATTTGATCTTTGCCTTTATTTACAGGTAATTCCAATAGATAAAATATATGATCCTTAAGTTGCCCATTCAGTCTTGCTGGTATTTGATAGCGATCCGCATATGCCAATGCCAAAACGTTATATACCTCGCAAACAAACTCGTACTTCCAAGGCATAACCCGATGTGTTTTTAGAACAACATAATCACCCATAAGTTCTTCAATATATCTGGCCAATTTCTATTTAAAACATAAAAAGAAAAGATTGTAAAGATTGAAAAGATTCGAAAAAAATGTTACTTCATATATGTTTAATTATAATTAATATATCAAGGAACTACATAAACAAAAGATAAATAATATACAAAAGCGAAGAATCATTAAAAATGAATGTCTCCCTGTATATTAAATAAATGAAAATTAATACTTGTACTAGTAATAGAGAATTTTAAAAACCGCTTTTGTAAAGTGATCCCTTTTTAACCAGTATCGCAGAATGGGCAGGCAGAAAGAGAAAAAGCGTTAGAGCAACAACTTGTGCTCTTCAGCACAAAAGATCAACTATGATCGCAGTGTTCCTCCGATTCCCTGTCTATTTCTTGTCTTATTCTAACAATTTCTAAGCAAATGCCATGCAAAGGCAGACTAAGTGGGACCTCTTTCGGACTTGAGAATCATTTTGATTAGAGATAATTTCCACTGCTTGGAAAAGTCGTTAAACGAGAAAATTTCATTGAAGATGACAGCAATGATCCAAATGACTTCATCAAGAAGTTGCTTAAGCATTTTGGCAGTGATTCCGTCAACTCTTATTGCCTTTTTTCTCGTGTCTTGTTAATGACGGCATCCTTCACTTCAAAGAAACTCACTTGGAGGGAGTCAATAACTTTTGTGAAGAACTAGACAAAAAGCTGCAAGTTACTTTCCATCGGATTGTGTTAAGATTTTCTGCAGGTGCTCAGCCATAACGAGATAATCGTCCATTCGTCATTTCTAGCCCATGTTTTGTCTCGTTTTCTTAAGGGGGGTTTACTTTGTACTGTGATTTTGAATTTTTGAGCTGCTTTCTACAGCGTATAATTTTGCAGTGAATGGTTTTTGCCTACAGATAATGCGTCCTTAAGCGCTTTCGTTACTTCTGCAAATTTTTGCTTTGACTCCGGAGATAGGTGAGTTTTCCAGTTCCGCCTTGCACAGCGCTTGGCTGAAACGAGCACATCGATATCAGATTAGAATGTGACAATTCGTGTTTTTATAAATTTAGTTGCAATGGCCTGAGACGTTGTTGCAGAAATAGTGCTATTGAGCAGGTAAACAGCTTCATTAATTTCTTTTTCAGATTCAATAAATAAATTTTTTTGAACTTGTTTCCTATGTCGGTTCCAATTTGTATATGTTTTAAATCTGTCTTGGCAAACTTGACTGTATAGTCGTTTTATTGATAAAGTGACTGGATAGTCATCTGACGAAAGCTCAAATGAAGGTACAACGCAAATGTTGTTATAGTTAAGGCCTTTGTAAACTCTGAAGTTTGTTAGGTCCGGAATTCTGTATATATCAGTTAGCCAATATGTTATGTGATGAATGGATATAATATTATAGCTATTGTTGATTGCATCATAATATTGTGGTCATTTCAGTGAGATTAGTCTTGAACCCCAGAATGTGTATTTAACGTTGTAGTCACCAACAGCTCGAAACTTCGGTCCCAATGACAGAAAAAAAATTTTGAAATGAGTTGAGGAAATACTAAACTTCGGGAGCAGTAAATAATAGAAAAAAAAATTTAATTGTTCTCTAGACGATAGGCAAACGGAAGTAGCTTGCATATATTTTTCGCAATGTGCTCTACGTCGTAGTAATCGATGGTATTTTTGACTAATACACAACTTCTTCCATGAGCCTTCCCGTCGGGGTGTTTTGAGTTGTAAAATTAAAAGCCGTGAATGTGAAACTAGTTTTTTGATGCTAAATAAATATCAGCGATAAGCATAATGTGAAAAAGATTTGTTGTTAAAAATGTATATAGTATTAGAACTCTAATATACTGTATTGACATATAACACTGTAATGTGTAAGCTCATTCTGTCAAGCATTATATTTACCCTTATTTTGCCACTTTCTCTAAGTTGAAGGATTTCCTTCTGTGCAGTTATCATACGACGACGGGTTTCATATTGTACTCTATAAAGATGAGCTTCATGATGCTTATCCCAAACGGCTTTATTTGGACACCTACGCATATTTTCATTGTATAAAGGACTGCGAGCATGTAACATTTTCTATTATATAGAAAGAATGAAATTTATTATTTTTAATTTTTTTTTATTTTTTTAATATTAAACAAAAATTTGTAAAAAGCGTCGATTCAATTCGATTTAGGACTTCTATTAATTTTTTACTAAAATAGGCAAACATATGCTGTAGTATAAATAATAATTATGCTATCCTTGCACAATCAGTTATTATAACACTCCATCCTGAGGAGTATCCTTCATATACACTTCGAAAATTTTCCGACTTTTACATAAAAAATAACAAATATTTCGATCTACATCTACTGAAGTTAGTAGACGAAAATATCTGTTAAATAACTATATACATAAGTTAACTACTGTCATATTATTTACTTATTTATTATTTTAAAAACACGATCTGGCAAAAATTAAAACAGATAATTATTAGAGTCGACACTAATATAAACATTTAATAAAAAAAAAACTGTATAAAATAAATGAAAAAAAATACTGAAACCTAGTTCTTTAGTTAGGAAACCTAGTTCTTTAGTTTTGTTCCTAACTAAGAACTTAGTTAGGAACAAAACACCCTCAAATAAGAATGATAACATAAAAATTGTATATTCTAGCATTATCTATCTTCTTTTTAAGACGTCTAAACTAGCTTGTTCTATAATATATGCATAACCCGCCCATTAAACCTAACACCCAAAATCAATATATTTTATATTTACACCTATTTCGGTAGTGACTTTAAATAATAGTGATTATATCTAGAAGATAGACACTGTTGAACACATTATTAGCTAAAATAGTACTGGCACTTAATTCATCAAATATCTTTGATCTAAAACTTCTCATGTTAATAAGATTAGTTAGATTATTACGTTGCGAATTGCTGAATATTGTCTTCGCTGTGAAGACAAATATCTCATACAAGAATTTGGATACTCGAACGTTCACAAGAAGCAACTATCATACATCATCGTTCAAACAGTTTGATGAGAAAGAGAGTTTGCACATCAATAATGATAGAAGATAACATTATATATTCACAATTGTCAGATATATCTAAGAAACTTTTTCGATTTAAATATTTTTATTTTTTTATATTGTTCGTCTGACATAAAACTATAGACGTACATAAGTGAAGTTCATAAAACCTAGTGTCTTTGTTTTATCTTTCAGGGATCATATCGAACATTGTGCCTAAAACAGAACATTATTAGATTATTTAAAGCACTATATGGATTTTACTCGTCTAAAAATTTTTTGTCTTTTATCTTATCTAGCAACCTTTACCATATACCACAATTTGAGAGTTTATCTTATATATGAACTTTGCAATCATGTTGGTTGTCTCTCAGAGTGTGTCGTTTTTATTAATTGAATTCTTATTGACAAATAACAAATTCCACTACCTATTGGATACCTAACCCTATTAACACTATTTATGGTACCCCACTTATAAAGGCTCTGTCTGACAACTTAACAATCAATACAGTTATTATAATAAAGCAATTATAATTATAATCTAAAAAACCATTCAATACAATAGTTCCATTTATAACTAGTAACACGTATGAAGGCTCTATCTGGTATCTTAAGACCAACCAATAAGATATATTTGACAATTATTATAATAAAATAATTATAATGAAGCATAATACAAAACAAAAAAAAAAGAAAAAAATTTTTTTTAACTAAAAACTTACCAAATATTTTTTTGATATATCATATGTGTTATGTACTAGTCGTCTTAAGTAAGGTGTGGATTCCCGAAATTGTGGCATCAATAAATTCTGATCCTCACGCAACTCCTTTAAGAACAAAACATCTTGCCAGCTTTTGTTTAAATATATTTGATTAAAAACTTTAAAGGCACGTGCACGACGGGCAACTTCACGGGGATGTAAAAGTATTTCCTATTTTGGAATAGAATACATATCATTAATCAATTAATGTTGTGATAATTCAATGGATAATATTACCTCAAGTTCAAGAATGCTGAGTACATCACATTTTCCTTCGTCTCTTAAAGTTTTCCACAACGGACGTGTATCCACAAAATTATCTTTTGCAATTTGTGCTAAGACTTTTGGAAAATTTCGTTCATTTTTCAGTAAAAAAGGACCCAGCGTATCACCCAAACAATCTTTGAAATTTTGATCGATCTTTTAATATAAAAACATATTGTAATAGATTAATTATCAAAAGCAAACTCAGTACCTTACCTTATCCGAACAAATAATTTAAGTCACATAACTTACCACATGTAATCGATTCTTAAATGCATTAACATTTTTGCCCTTGTATTTGCAGGAATAATCATAGGCCTCGACTTTACATTTCTCAAACTGGTTCATCTCATAAAGAGCATTGCAAACCTCAATTTTAATGGGCGCGCTTAAGTCATTGATGTCTAAGAACAGTAATTTATTGGGAATGAGGTTAAAGTCATAATGCTAAAGGATTTTACTTACCTCCAGCGACTCTGGCGTCTTTCAATGCCTGTTCGGTTTGTGCAACATTTCGTTTGCAAATACTGCGATAGTACAGTGCCTTATCGTCATCTTCCTTAATTTGCAAAGATTTGTCACAGTAATACTGAGCTATGTTTAATTGTTGCTTGTGCATATAAAAGAGACCCCAATCACGATAGATTTTCTGCTCGTGCTCGGGGCTCCATGCAAGTTTCTCCCATGGTTGCTTCACAGCTTGCAAGGCAAACATTTTGTGGTATTTTCAGTAATGGGCAGAAAATACAGATATGCAACTAATAAAAATTTTGAATCTATTGGAAAGATAATAATTTCTTACAATATTTTGAATACTTATATTTAAATCATATGTATGTTGATAAATGTTATATATTTTATTTCAAATTTAAAATGGAAAACGGCACACTATATATAAACTTATAATTCTACTTAAATTGCAAAACAAAATATATCTTTTTATAATAAAGCATTAATTGTGATTGTCAATTCTGTCAGATATCTTACTCTGCGTTTTTGTCTCCATTGGGCGAATATCTTTCCTTTAACATGCAATAGCAATTGAACCATCATGACAATAGTCTATTCGTAGTCGGAATATCCCGTAATCGTTTTTTTGACTATAATTATTCTTCTACGGCTGTGTGCGCTGAGAACTTGTGCTCTCGGCAAAGAGAAACTTTGTCTGGATTGTGTATACCAGTTTTATAGTTTTGTAGTTATGAATACATAATTACAGTCATTTTCAATTTGGTTTTGTCCTCTAAGGGACTTTCGAAACCGCACAATTAAGAGAAAATTGTGAAGAAAGGATGTCACCTTCAAAGTAAAACGATTAAATACTAAATAACCCATCAATGCCCGATGTTTCTAACTGCCGCCAACGACCAAAATGCAGAGGCCGCTGAATATTGTTTTATGCGATCAAGATAGACATGCGGTTGTAGTGTTCAATCAAGTCAATAAATAATTACTAAAGCCGTGTGCGACTTCGAGTAAATTGAGGTAAAGTAAATTGAAATTTCCTACGGATTTTTTGCACTGCACTTATGTAAGTATTTATGTAAGTATTTATTTAATTATTTATTGCACTTATTTATTAATTTTCGTTAAAAGTTTTCAAATTTGTTTATTTATTTATAAACATCTTATAAAATTTATACAATGATAACACCTAATTTACCTAACTTTTATCTAATTTATCCTATTCGAAATTCTGGTAAATACCAACATTTGCTGCCATCCGACATAATTTACTATTTCCCTCAATATACCAACAATTTACTCGAATTCGTACACGGCCTAAATATTATATTCTCCATAAATCATATAAACTTTATAAGTATCTTTATTTTATAAAATACAGCTCTAACGAAAAATGTAGTTATTTTTATAGAACAATAATTTATCCGATTTGCAAAGTATCTCATTATAAAAAATTAGTAAAACAATTAAATAGTAGACCTAATCATTTGTAAATGTGTTAGAAAAGGACAACATGAAATCAACAGTACTTTTACAGAAGCACTTAAAACTTAATTGATATAATATTAAATTAATAATGTACATTTTTATAAATGATTTAATTTATCGATTATATATTTAATTTTTTTTATGTGTTATATTTTTAAGTGAAATTTACAAGATTTTTTAAAAGTTCTATCAGCTGCATAAATGAGCTCATTATAAAGCGGGTATCGTTTAATTGCGCAAGTAATATCGATGTAATTAAAGAACACCAAAGGGTTCATTCCTTTGCAACTATGAATAAATTGTAACTTAATTTTATTTGTTAAAAGAATAGGTTTAAAAATCATTAAAAAGATTTGAAATATTAATAACCTTGTGCAAACAAAAATAAGTAAATTACCAAATTTAAATATAATATAAAAATGTAAATATATAAATTAAAATTATAAATTAAATATAAAAACATTATTTTTAATTAAAAAATTAAATATCATATATATTAACAGTTAATCTTAACCCTTCAGATAAGTTGTACAACCAAATATGATGTGTAATACGCGCTTAATGTGAACGTTCATTCATTAATATAAATGAGCAAGTGCTTAAATGAGTCAGTGTAAATGCATTATTACATTGCTTGTTTTAAAAACAAAATGGATATTGAAAATGATATATTTTTAGCGAAAAATCCGTTACATTATATATATTCAATATAAAGAACATATGTTTTAAACAATATTTTCATTTATAAAATTAAAGTTAAATGAAAAAAAGACACACCTCCTAAACTCACTAGAGTACCTTAGCGTTGTGATGGTAAATACTATCTTCATGTGTGGAACAGCGGTCGATCCGTTTGCATGAGCACGAAGGGATGGGATTCCTACTAATTTGAAGACTGATATCCCCAAGTAGATGTGTAATGTACTGAGGGTTTAAGCCACTGAAGTGGATATGGGTTCATGAAAGTGACAGAGCTCCAGTCTACTAATGAAAGATTTGAACACGAAATTGAAAATTAAAAACGTATTTCTAAGGATGTGGATTAAAAAAAAAAAGTAATGCTATTGCCTCTTAAGTATTTCTTTAAGTAAATGAAGACCCCACTTAATAACAAATATAAAATAAAACAAATAATAAAAATTATTAACTTTGAGAACTTAATAATAAGAATAGGGTATATGTAGAACCATACTAAAAAGTTTCAGTAAATAATCCCAAGCATAAAAGTGGTTCAGCGGTTTACCCGGACCTCACGGTCTAGGAAATACACGTTGATACTAAAAAGTATATTTCAAAAACAAAAAATTTGCTTTTTAGTTAATAATCAAATATATTTCAAGTTCACATTAGGTCTGTTCCACAAGCTACTCGTAGTAAAACTCAAGTAAAATACAAGTAAAATTTACACGAAAATACACGAAAATTTGCTTGTGGAATGCACTTGTGTATACACAGTGTTACTTAAAGTTACTACGAGTAGCTCATTGAACAAACCTATTATATATACTTTAAATATTAACCTGGTAATAAAATGCAGTTCGATTTTATATACATTTAAACATATACCTGGCAACACTGTGCCAATTGCTTTACGTTCTATATAAAAATTTATAAACTTGCTTTTCGGCAAAGAGTTTGGTCGTGTCATATAACGAAGGCGGAGTTTTCGGGAGCGCAATAGACACATTTTTTTCGGTAATTTACAATTAAATACGATAAAATAATTAAATAATTGTGTTTGAAAATTAGATATAGTGAAAATAATAATCTATTTGACAATTTTTAAAATAAAATGTTTATAACTTTACGTGATTAGAGTCGGATTGAGGCTCTGTATTGCTGTGCAAAAAGTTTGCATTTTTAATTATTATATTTAGTGTTCTTAATTCTTTTTCAGTGTTCTTTTTTACATATTTAAATGTTTTTTTTGTAACAAAAATATAAAATAATTAACAAATATTTATTTAAAAAAAAATTTCTGAAAAAAGTGTCTAGCGCACTCGTAGGTTATTCGGCATTGCAATATGGCCGACGGCATATTACCACCAAAGCAAACAAAAGACGGCAGCGCAAAAGGTAAATAAAACGATAAGAAATATCTATAAATTTGAATAATATTAAATAGTGTTAAATTATTGATATATTAAAACTAATTTTTGTCACTGATTACAACAAAATATTTTTTATACATACTCATCACATAATTATTTTCAAGTTCCTCTATAAAGTGATTATTAATAGAAGTCCCCAGTTATTGGGAGATTATTAAGATTTTATTAACCGATATACGTATGGAGATTTTTTTGTTTGTTGTTTTTATATAAATTTATGTATATTAGGTAAATCATACTTCAATTATAAATCTGAAATCAGTTAAAAATTGTTTTTCTATAACTGGCATTCGATTCATTAAATATTGGTCGGTATTTAACAATACTTTATCAACAAGTTTTTGATTTATTATTATTATGTTGAAGGTATTTGAGCCAGTGCACTTGAACACTTTTACTCTCTATTAACTCAAGGTATCTTCAAAACCCCTATTTACGCCTTGACTGGATTATTGTTTGATTGATTATTATCACTTCATCAGACTAAACAATAATTGACCTCAGATCTACATATCTCCCCGAGGAGCGTGTGACCGTTCTAAGATTCGATAACGCGGTGTTGGTAAGTCATGAAATTGAAGGAAATCAGTTTCTTCGTCTTTCATTGTTCTTTGTCAAGTGATTATAAGAAAAAAATTCCAAGTCAATGAAATTACTAGAAAATGCCATTGAAAGAAAATCACTGTTATCTTCATCACTGTTTTCGCCATAAACAGATGATTTTTATTCTACCATTATCAGAGAAGAAAAAAGCGATTAGATAAAATTTACTCAAATTTACTTTTGAGTCACAAAATTTTTCAGGTATGGTAATATTGAACAAACCTATCAAGTTTCCATCCATTAACAATGATTGAATTAAGAATGGTGACCTATAAAAGGCTACACTACTTGTTGGATCCGATTGCAATACTATTATATTAAGGTGCGTTATTATTCACATTAACTAGAACCACTTCTAGCTGTCCCTTGTAACGCTTGTTTCTTTTGTACAGTGGGGTCTGTAAGAAGATTAAATTTCAAAGACCAGGGCTTAAAAGAATTAATAAAAAATGATTATTTAAATAGATTTTGTGTTGTCAGTAAATTTGATTGGAATACACAGATAAATATTTTTATCTTAAACGTTCTTTCCAAAATTTCCCCTCTTTTCGATCAAAAAGAAGACATTTTTCAGGTAGTCTTAAAAAACGGTTTTATCTGTACAGGTTACCCAAAACACGAATTTCATATCTCTTAATAGGAATAACCCTTAAATTCCTTAAGACTGTAATTTTTTTTCTAACCCTTTGTTGATAGAAGCTCAGATCTTCTATACACAAATGATCTTCTATACATCGGAGCCTCTTTGTTTGCAGCACTGTGTAGTTGCATACAGTTTTTCAGATACAGTTATAGATATCCGATTAGTCTACTTTTACTTATTCTACCACGCCGGTGTAGAAACGTTTTCCTAAACATTGGTTTCGATCCGTCTGGATCCCTGGGCAATGACATAGAAGATACTTAATATATTCCACTTACTTTATATCATAGTAACTTGCACTCAGTCACTTTGTTGAAATATGTCGCCGTTGAAGCATCGATGCAATAGCACAATGCTCTTTTAATACACCAGAAGAAACCCGAACTCCAGCTTCGACAACACCTAAAAATTCCTATTGTATTTATTGTATTAAAATAATTACAAATTCAGTATAATAACTAAAATCTGATTCTGAAATAATATTTATATTATTCTTATATAAGCAACAACTAATCGATATCCTAAATTACAGCTAACAAGGCTAAGGTTCACTGCAAAGACAATGAAAATAAAGTGTCTGAATGTTCAGATAAAAGAGAAGAGACTGTACACTCTCGGAGTAAAAATCCTGATGAGTTTCTTGATAGCTCATTTTCTATGAAAAATCAAAGTGCTAAATCGATAAGAGAACTTTTTGATTTTGAGAAATCTCTGGTACAAGAATTTTTGTGTGACAATAACGTCATGGATAAACTATTAAAATGTACTCACCCTAATGATTCGGTGGATGAAAAAGATTTGCCAAGAGATATAATAAAAGATCCTAAAGGCAATACATTCCCAAATAATTCGTTTTTTAACAGAGAACTTAATAATAAATTGATTACATTAGACAATAGTGCGATATCTTCAAATAGTGGATCGAGTAAAGAAAATATGTCTGTTGGGCGTAATTTTATTAAAGAAAACATTGAAAAAATTCGTGACACAAAAGTTAAATTTCGATTTGGTAAACAAGAGGAGTTGAAAATTCGCGAAAAAAACAATTCTATGGCTAAGATGCAGCATGCTAGAAACGATAATAAAACTCAAGCTGATCAATTAAAGTGTTTGTCTAAAAGTTCTGGAATACTTCAAGTTGCAAAAAACTGTAATGCGTAAGTAAACATTATAAAATTAAACAGCATATACCATAGAGTACTCGTACTATTCAAAATAAAATAACTTTCTTCTGATCTTGAAGTAACTTGGCTTTCTACATTATTTTTGTTATCTTTACAAAATGTTAATCTTACAGTTATTTTGGATAATATATATACAAATTTTTTATATTAGTGGTGCCGAAGTTTCATCTAGATCTGCAAAAAATACTGTGGCTAACTCTTTTTCAATAGAAATGCAGATTTCAACACCAATATCTCGAGCAAATGTGAAATATATGTCTTTTTCTCCGATGAGATTTTCGAACTCATCTATGAGCGATACATTTGGAAGAAATCCCGAAGCAGATTTCCTAATAGCTGGTTCAAAAATTTTTAACGCACTTGTGTTAAAAGCTTGGCGTAAACGAATTCATGAAATCAAAAGTATTAAGCAAAAACTCAACAGTAGTGAAGTAACGGTGAGTAGTTGTATTATATATGTAGATATTTAAATTAGATTTAGTTAGATCTATGCAAATATTAGTTATAGTTTTAGTTTAAATCAAACATCAATTCTTATTGCAATTAGTCTTACGTATTCTACGCAATTAGTTTAAATCGTTAATAATAAATAATTCTTTTTTCAAATCCCTCCGTAATAATTAATAGTGAGTTAACTACTTACTTTGAATATGTCCATATGTATGAGGGAACTAACGAAAGATCACTATAAAATAAATTTATTAAAACAATTTACACTTCATTACTCAGTTCATACTCTTCATTCTTCCTTCCATGGAAATAAAATTTCCATTAATTTTTATACACTTTTGAATCAGTAGATTCACTGAATAGTCATCAAAATCTTATAGCTTTAGGTTTGTAACTACGAAATTAAATGCACTAATCATATCTTCATGACCCTTTCTCTTAAATTTATTTTTTTTTTAAATCACTAGATTCGCTTTCTAAAACAGTCCTCAAAGTCTTATACCTTTAGGTTTGCAACTACGAGATTGAATGCACTTATCATCTCCTCATGACACTTCCTATTAATTTTATTTTCATTTTTGAAATCTACGTTCGAGAAATATGACTCTAAACGAATTTCTTCAATTCCTGAGGACTTAATGAAGTTGTTCTCGTCTTGGAAACAGTGTCAACTCAGTTCCATTTTTCCTGTATTTCCACAGAAAATTAAGCGGATTTCATTAAACCTTTTCGAAGTTTCCGTTTGTTCAGGCTTTAGGAAAATAAAAGCTACAACTTTTCCACTGGTGAAGTGAATTAACATCATAATTTTTACTGTAAATATTGTTGCCTAAATTTAACTAGTAATTCACTCGAGCATCTTCTGGGCTCGATATTATCATTTTTTGTTTTTTAAGTTTCGTACTTAGTGACAGGCCAAATTTCATCAGCTATTACAATTTTATTAAAGTTACTGGACTCTCCTTATAAAGATTTTTCAAGAATAGATTATAAACAGAAAGTAAACAGAGCGTCCCTTTTTGAGCTTCAGTTTAGAATTCGCTGTGTATGTTGGAAGATTGCCTAATATTAGTGAAGCAACAAGCCAACTTAATCAGTATTCCAATGTTTATCTTAGATCTTTAACTTATACAATTGTAACTGTAATACAATTTAATATCCTTTGTATAATATATCGAACATATAACCTGGTTTTAAAAACTCGATTTCAGCAAATTGAAACCGAAGATCGTTTGCAAGCTATGACGGAATGGTGCGCTTTCAAAAAGGAGCGTAGCGATACCCTACAAGGGTATGTATCATTACATTTACGGGAGATAAAATATACAACTGATGAAATTATTAAAAATACCAAAATAACAAGAAGTAAATATGAAAACATCAAAATACAATTGTGGTTAAAAGACCAGCAATGTGAACAATTAAATGATAAGCTGACTGAGACTATGTCGAAGATATTCAATACCATGAAAAAGCGACGAGAGTTAGATAAGTTACTTACTACACAACAACGATCAAATCAAATGATGAGATGGGAAAAAGAGGATCATACACAAAAGGTAACTCAATATAAATAACTCAATTTTTGTCTATTACTATGAAATCTGAATTCATATTTATATTACCAGACACAAAAACAGCTTGATCAATTAAAATTGAAAAATGAAAACTTAAAACTACAAATATTTTCTGTAGAGGAACAGTACGCAAGCAACAGAAGTCATCATTTCTTGCAGATGGCATCAGTGGACGAGTAAATTCCTACGTTAGTAAAAAGAAATTCATTATTAACTTTTTTTTTTTTTATTATTCCAGAATAAACACTGAAAATGATGAATTGAGTGCTTCTATAGAGCTTTTGGAAGCCGCAATAGATGATCTAAAATATGAATATGATGAATTAAAGAAGCAAAGTAGCGAGAGTAAAATAAAAACTGCTTTAAAGAATCTAAGCAAGGTTCCAATAGGATATGCACTCTTTACAGGAATTTGTCGATTATTTTGGGGAACTAAAGCTTGGTCTCGCTAACTTTATTTATCAGAAAAATTAATGGACCTAACTAATAAAATTAATAATAATCTATTGAAACTACTTTAAATAAAATTAAGTAATTAATCCAACAATAATCCGTAATGATTACAAAAGAGAAGACAAAGAAAATAAAAGTATCTTAAGAAATTGTGATCAATTCAACTAATTTTAACTCCATCTCCCGAGTTATTTAAATAAATAACTGTTACTACTTATTTTAATGTTTGTTTCTTTCATCCAATAATTAATTTATCGAATATAACCTATATGATTCAGTCATAACATGGGCACCCGAGAAAGTTTAATACAGATGTTGAGTGGAAAATTAAAAAAAGAATAAATATAGTTTATATAAAGTAGAAATCACTAAGCACATATTGTAAATAAAATATATTATTATTAATATTATTAAAAGAAGGGATTGTGCATTGCGACCTAAAAAATATTGTGCCCCTTACTCGGATTAGAGTTTTTCTCCAAGTCCGATACAGTATAGACAGTATAGAGCCTAGCTTTCGTAGGTGTAAATCTTTATCATCCATGAAATACCCTCCTAGGTGTTTCTTCCGCTTGTAGATCAGTGCCGCGCACTCCTCAAGCACATGGTATGCAGATTTTCTCTCTTCTTTACAGTACCTGCAGTCTGAGTTAGATTGAATTCCTAACTTCGATAGGCGATTATTCAATCTACAGTAGCCGGTCAATAATCCCGTAATAATTCTCAGGTTGTTTTATGATTGTGCTATGCAATCTTTGACGCGTTTTTGGTTGTAAGTCCCTAACAGCATTTTAGATTGTAAGAGTCCTGGTAACCTTATCTTTCATTTTTCTCTACACCATTCATAACAATAGATAGAGTTCCTTTGCTTAGACCACATAAAGGCACTGGGTCTATCATTCTTGAGGCTGCGCCTCTTGCAAGTTTGTCTGCCAATTTATTGCCTTACATAAAATATAACTTCACACTAATTGTACACATAAAAAGATAGCTCACAATATTGACCTATCACAGGAATAAAGATGCATCAACGTCAAGGATCGATTTTTATATATCAGTTGCTAGACATTAGGGTGGAAGATGGAAGAATTAGGATACAATGGATCGATATTGTTAATACTAATACACGGCAAATAGAAGTATAAAAGGGCAAACCAGGAAGTGCTGCGAGTAATTGAAGGAGAATTATCTGGAAGACTAAACCCGTTATATGACTTTAGCAGCAAGGATGAAAAATATTCTGTTAAGTACAAATTTCTTTATATCATTGGATTTTTAACAAAAGTACAATACATATATAAATAGATAATTAGTTATAAATTGATTAGTTACTGAAAATGTCTAAAAAGTAATTTATAAATGGAATGTTCAAGCATAAAATTAATAAGAAACGAAAAGAAAATGTATCTAATTATGTTTAATGAATTATTGTTAAGAACTTCAATTAAAATTTTTTAGTATAAAATAAAATCAGTGTCATATAGAATCATATAGGCATTGAAATATTTTTAAAATTTTACAGAAAAGTTTGAATATTCATGTCATTTTTTTTTTATTTACTGTTCTCCGATCTTTACAAACAATATATATTTTGTGACGATAAGCGGAAGAAGTTTTATTTTGACTTAATTTTATTTACTGAAATTAAGGTTTTATTTAGCGTAGTACATTTCTTCCTATCACTTTGAAAATTATGGAGGGAAAATTATCAGAGCCAATAGCGACGGAACCAAAGGGATGGAATAAAATGGTGAGTGAACCTTTTCATATTAGACTTAGCAGTTTTAGTAGTTTCCGCTTAATTAGTTCCAAGTAAGCGAAGAATTCAGTTAACCGACTAAATTGACAATTTAAAAAAAATATACAGTTAAAAGGACTTTTCTTGATTGTTAAAAGAAAGTCTGTTATTCTGAGCTAAACTTGGATTTTAATTTGGGCGTTAATATATGGGCGTTACTTTTACGGGGAAATTTCTGTTAAATCTTTGAAAGGAAGAAGAGTCCTTTGCATACATTTCATAGCAGTTGAAGTAATAAGCTATAATTGGCTTCAGGCACTTCACAGCTCTAGTAATATCCAACACTTATATTATTTTTGACAAACTTCCTGAGTTAAGGGAAAATTTCATACTAGTTATATATAAAGTAATAAGCTACCATATAATTGATTTCGGGTACTTCACAGCTCAAGTAATATTCAATACTTCCATTATTTTTGGCAAACTCCTTGAGTTAAGGGAATTTCCCAAGCCGTAAGTGATTAAGTGATTACCACATAAATCCTTTTAAAGTCCATATCTATTCTCGTTAGCTGGTAGCTGCACATGTCAACTCCATCACCATTTTATTTGCGTCAATTGTATATTTTTTCTGTTTTAAGCCAAACTGTCTCTTAAATAAGCTGTTTGGTTTGTCGAAGGTTTCATAAAGCTGGCTTACAATATTTCTTTTAAGAATCTTTCACGGATATTCGGATCCGGGTTGTAATAGAAGCACTAGTTGTCGATTTTATAAAACGCCTTCGCTCAAGCAAGCATTGTATACCATTGTAAAGACTATGAGAGTTATCGCAGGTGGTATGTATTTGGAAGGGGGAACAACACTGTCACTATTCGTTACATCATGGCGTTTTTCGTTGTACCTTTCTATATTCTTTATTGTCTTTATCTACAATTATTATAGTCCTTTGTAGCATGGATTTTTCTTAGAATAGTATATCTTGTAGGTTTCCTTATAAAAGTTAAGATCTATTATTTATATTGATACTTCCCTATGTTATAGACCAGGCATTGAAATCATCTCTAACCATAATAGTCAAACACTCCTTCTTGCCTCCGTTTCTACATACAAGGTTTGAGTCCATACATACATAGCACGATTTATATTCATATAAATTTGTCTCGTTGCTAAGGAAATTTGTTTTATCATTGTCCACATTGTAGCTTTGTTTTTCGCGTTTATAGTTCATACATTAGTTCCTTCATTATGATGTTCTTTTTATAAAGTAGATAAATCCACTTTCTTCATAAAAATCGTCTGTTTGAAAATATCTTCTGACAAGAGAAAGTGGTTGAGATTGAGTTACATTATATTTAACACGTTCCTTTTAGTGATGTGTTTTAGTCAGAGTTCGTATTTGTGCAATCATGAGCAGCTCTTTTTGACTCATTTTGATCATGGCTCATAAGCCGGCAAGAAGCTCTTTTAATGCGATGGCTCACGCTCACGAGCGACCCAATTGCAGAGCTTACGCTCGTGAGCAAGAGCCGCCATTAAGTTATAAATTGGCTCACGTGAGTTAAGTTATAAATTGGCTCGTGAGACCTCATGAGCAGCTCTTCAATATGAGCAAATTGAAGGCTTACGCTGTTGAGCAGCTCTTCAATATGACCCAATTTTGGGCTCACGCTTATGAGCTAATTTTGGGCTCACATAAAAATTGATTCTGCTTATGAGTGAGCAAATACGAACCCTGATTTTAGTATTTGGAGCATGTTTGCAATACAGCTTATAATTTGATATAAGAAATCATATAGACATTGAAATATTTTTGAAATTTGTACAAAAAATTTAATTCACATCAATTTTTTTTTTATTTATTATTGTTCACATTTAACCAACGTTGTATAATATATTTTGTTGCGATTATCGGAAGTAATTTTTGTGATTTGTTAAAATCACTTTTAAGATTCAATTAAGCATTTTCAAGAATTTTTCAAATTAAGGGGTAATTCAACAGACCTATAGCGATGGATATGAACAAATTAGTGAGTAAATATAATCATTTTAAAAATAGTAACTAAGCTCGTTTTGAACACTGATGAAATTAATTTGTTTGCAATCAATTTCTTTACGATTGTGTGCTTGAAGAGCTGTGAGCACTCATGTGCTTGAATATTCGTTCAAAATTTTTTTGTCCCATGTGCTATGAGCAGAATTTGCTGAAATGAGTTACTCGTGAGTATACACGAGTATTCTCGTGAGTACCGACGCAATGTGTTATATTAAAGATTGCATGTTTTCGCAATAACAATGTTTTATGCCCGGTGCACCTTACCGACAGAGTGATGACGCCGATTGTTTTTTACTAACATATTGGATCTCCAAGTATTTGAGTTTTATAATCACTAGAATATTAATTATTAAATTTATTAATTAACCTTTTCCACCTATTTAAATGGTCTAGTATTTTTTGTCAAAAACTGGATGTTAGATAGTAATGACTATCGAGCTAAGTTTTTTTATATGTTAGTAAGATAAACTCAATTTGATGTTAAAAGTATATATTCGATACTATGAATTAATTCCCAATGCTAATAGTTCCTTTAGTGATGCGAGATATAGTCTGTCACTCCTATTCTAAATATTCCTAGGGGATAAGTTTCTTCCAAAATGCACTTCTCCCTAGAATTGAATTCATCTACTCTAAATTGCTTAGGAGACACCTGTTTTCTTAAAATGTGGGAACAACAAAAATTCAAATTTTTTTATTGAACTTTGGCAGCACTTGATTTTTTTGATAGCGAAAAGTACAAAAATTAGAAGCAAAACAAGGAAATGAAGAGACTTTCTGTATATACACAACTTTCTGTAGCCTCAATTTTCCGTTCAAATGGGATATGTTAATTATTTTTTTGAGATCTTCTATTCCAATCTTGTACACTTTAAAAAAATTTTTCGCTGATCTTTGTGGGATTCACACAAAGTTTAGATGGATGATGGTGATGATCAAGATCAAGACCAATTAAAATGTGTTGGTTCTCTTTTACTTTAATGACGAAATCGCACCTTCTCAAAGAAACGCTGTTCAAACACAAAATGTTTAGGATTTCTACCTGTAAGTTAGTTCTTTATGTCTAGTGTATGGACGGTCTCTCGTCCGTGTGCTTAAGTAAACTAACTAACATATTCATGTAATCTCAATTAGTACACTTGTATTAAATACAGTGCATCCATGTACATTGTAAGTTGAACTACTTGTTGCTATTAGATAGTTGTAGAAATATTGGACGAAATAAATGTAAGATAAGGGCTTTAGTGCACAAGGTTGCCACTCCGGTCTAAATTAATTGTTGCTTATCTCTAAAGGAAAATTTAATATTAGTTTAATGCTTATTTTTAAACTATTTTGTTTACACAAATATACTGTCACTTCAAACGTAATAACTCTATTTGTATTCGTTCAAATGTCATAAAATTTTTCTAATACATTAGTGAAATATCTATCTTGACACTTGTAGTACCCTATAGTCACAGTACAAATATCCGATTTAGTTTTATGTAAATATAAAATTTTCAATACAATTTGACATATCGTACATTATACAATATCTGTAACCACTTTTATTTAAATATTATAGAAAAAAAGAAAAATCTATATATTATTCATTCATAATGTATATATAATATAGTATATCTTTAATTTCTTTTCATAGAGAGCTATATATGAATCTCGCATATATGTAGCTGAGTCTAATTTAGCTGAGGAGAAAGAAAAAAATAAAATTTTGAAAGCTAGATTAGATCATCTTTTGTATATAATCAACACTAATGAAAATCAGTGTGTGCATGAAAGAGAAAGAGAAAAAATAAATCAAAATGTGAATGCATCTCTCCAGCAGCTTGAAACAAAATTAAAAATAAATGTGTCTAATCAAGAAAAATTGGCTACCTCTGTTAAGTCAATTAAAAATGAAGTCGAAAAATATATTGAAGATATAAAAGAGGTAATGCATAAAAAGAGTTCTATTTTGTCTACTGCTTTTATATTATTCTTTTATTTCAAAAAAAAAAATTTTTACATCAACTATGAACTATTTTTTCCTTTGTTCTTTTAATCTAAGATCCAAGAAGAACTTAAGAACAGAGAAGATTTTCAAGAAGATACATCCATAGATGCAGAGGTCGAGATGCAAGAAATATCACTTAAGAACAGAGAAGATTTGCAAGAAGATATATCCATAGATGCAGAGGTCGAGATTCAAGAAATATCAATTTGTTCATTGGTCCAAGAGTAAGCCCCTGATTTAAAGCTAACCAAGTCAGAACTATTTCTAATTTTAATAAAATTTTTTTAGATTGCAAGATGAAAAAAAGAATAGCTATGCAAATTTAATTAAAAATGTATTCGTTGAATGTTGCACATATTTCAAGAATATTCCGATCCATCACTTTGTGTTAAATGAAGTAGTGAGTTTTTGCTTGAATGGTTTGAAGTAATTTTTCTGGAAAAACTCTTCGTAACCCTTTTTTGCATACTTCAAAATTCAAAAAATAATTTTTACCAAAAACGGAACAAAAAAATTCACAGAAAATACCAAATTTATACAGAAAATTTTAGAAGATAATTAAAAATGTATTTATTTTATTAATTAATTTAGTTGAATTCACAGAAAATACCAAGTTTACACAGAAAATTTTAGAGGACAGTTAAAAACTAATTTATTTTATAATTATAATAGTTGGATAGTTATAATTAGTTGGAAATAATGCACACGTATAGAAGTCAACTCATAAAACAACTACTATATAAAATATTAATTATAAAAAATATTACCAAAAACATTACAAAAACTATTTATTTAAGTCAACGTATCTATCTTAAAAACTATTATAAATTTATGTGAACTATAATGTACATTGAAAATTATTATTTAGAAACAAAATATAAACACATATAAAAAAAATTTATTGAAAATCAAATCAAAATTCAAAATTTTTATATTATAAAAAAATACAAATAAAAAAAATTAATAACTTTCGTTTTATTATCAATTTGAAGCCTTTTGTTACTTTACTACTATATATTATCTCTCAATTTTTTATTTTATTAAATAAATAAACCATTATTGTTGAAAGTCAACCCAAATTTACGAAGGATTTATGCATCCAAAACAGAAGACAGTATAGTTGAAAGATTAATTTTAATGTCAGGTTAATTTGAAAAAATGTTTCTTAATTTTAATTCCAACATTTTTCAGAGACATTTATTGCCTATATTGATGCATCCAAAGTTGCCAAGGGGAGATGAGCTACATTGACCATTATTTCCAATTAAAAAAACTCTTCCTTGCTATCAGTAGTCATTTCATCTATAGTCTTGAACTAACACATAATAACTATTTGATAATTACCATCTGCTTTTTCCGTCATGGGAACTAATATGCAATCCGAATATCTGAAAACTCCAGCTGAGACGCATCGAAAAAATAAAACTTGACAGGAGCTGCCAGTTTATTGAAGCCCAAATAATGCTTCATTCATTTTCTATCTAATCTCCACCATAGAGTTATATATATAGTTTTCAAGATTAATCCGTAAGTGATTCATTACTTTAAAAGTAAAACCATTGCGTTTTCTAAACAGTTTGTATATCGATACAAAGTATGGATCTCTTATGAGTCTACTCTTCTGGTCGTAGATTCTTCTGGTCATCTTATTTATAAGATGTAAAAATAATGGCAGGTGATGTTTAAGTAGATAAATTCAACGAAAACTGATAGAAATTAAAAAGAAACTAAACATCACATAACATAGAAGATATCTGTAATTGCTACATTTATATAAATAAAGAAAGATAGAATAATCAACAAAATTATAAGACTTTGATCAGTAAATGGATCGGTATTACATGTGCAGAGAAAACAATAAACATCTATAAATTAGACAAAGGAAAATTCGAAAAATGTATATTAATCTAAAAAAATTTTTTAGTTGAGAGTATAAAGAATTACTTATCGGACCAATATCTCAGTACTTTAAGAATCACATTAGGCTTATTTTGATTGTTATATATAACTTAGTAGGGCGACAGGATCATATGATGGACAAGCATGGAGTAACTGCTTATTATTACCCTAAATAATATAGAATTATTACGAAAACAATCTCAAGACAGCTGCCATAACCTATATCACCCAAAAACCGATTAACCTAACGTTTAATCATCAAAAACAACAACAGTAACTGCATCTTAGACAACATAAGAGAAAAGGAAGTTATTATCCACGTACGAAAATAGGCAGAATATATATAAGAGCATCTCTCAATTGAATATTTGTAACTCGAGATATAGTGCAACATGTGAAGCTATTTCAGGAAATAACAAAAAATAATAAAAAGTCCTCAAATCTAGAGAACCTTTCCATAATAAGAATATTCAATTGGATTTTTAAAGTTTATAAAAATAGGATAATATTCTTTTATATATAATAAAATATAAAAATATTATATGTATATAATGTACATTATATCTGTGACCTAGTGTTATATCAGTTCAATTTATTAAGATATACTTCAAAATATCGTTGGGATAAGAATTTGATATATTGTATATAGGAACGGAAATAAAATTTCAACTTTTTTTAGTTGAATCTGTAAATTCATTACCCATTATCAGCGTGAAATTATTTTCCTAACTACTTTTGGTGTGTGGAAGATCGCACTACTCAGGGACTAAGAGAAAATCTATATAAATGATTTATTCCCCGTGTTTGTATTTGAGTAGATTTAGATCTTCGATAAATACTTTTGACTCTGCAGTAAAAAAAAAGTATGAAGCGGAAGTATTCCTGTTTTTAAAATTAAGTCTATAGTAATAACGCTGAAGGAAACTTTTTGTGAAAACTTACAGATGTCAGTGAAAATAAAAGTGCAAGTACTGTAATGAATTTTGAATTCCTAAAATTTCTTGGAAAAGACTTTTGATAGATTTTTAATGTTTTCGAAAAACTAAAATAGTAGTTAAATGTCGTTCTTTGTTAAATAAAAAGGCAATCTTGATGACGACATTTTCAAGATTTTAATTGTTTGTACATCTTTTTCCTTAAGAACGATTGGAACATATTTACTGGAAACAAAATGTTCGTAATCGCTTACGCTCTTCAACAGATTGAAGAGATAGTTTTTCTGTTGGATTTTTCAATAATGTCTTAGTTTATATGCTCTTCTACACCGTAGTTGACACTTGTTCTTTGAAAACATTAGAGGGATGATCGAACTCTGAATATTTTTGGGAACAAAGTGATAGTTATAAGGATGCACATATATAGCTGAACCGTCAGATCGAAACCCAGTGATGGATTGTCATGGCCAAATAAGTAAAAATTATAAACCCAAGATCTACAAGAATATAATAACACATCAGATAAGAAATAAAAAAGGATGCACATATATAGCTAAACCGTCAGATCGAAACCCAGGATGGATTGTCATGGCCAAATAAGTAGAAATTATAAACCCAAGATCTACAAGAATATAATAACACATCAGATAAGAAATAAATTTTTTTACAAATGTGGAAATACATATTGAAATATTAACATATCTAGGGAAAATAATTCACAAATATATAATTCTCAACCAGTTTAATGGTTTGTTACTATAATAATTGTGAAACACATACGATTTGTATTGTGATTTTAATATTAAAGTAATAGTGATTATGCAAATACATTTCAATTATTTCCAATGTTTAAGACTTTTTGAATAAATTGTTTATACTGTAAATAATTATAGGTAAAAGTAAAGCTAAAAATATCTTAATAAAAAAGATATTAATAGTATTTAATGGCGAAGGATTAAAATTTTTAGAGAAAATATTTTATAAAAATGTTATCTAATAGCTTTTTGAAAAAAAAAATTATCTTAAGACCGTGTACCAGTTCAAGTGAATTGATGGTAAATTGATAGTAAATTAGGGAAAATAGTAAATTATGTCAGTATGGCAGCATATGTGTTGATATTTACCAGAATTTCGAGTAGGGTAAATTAAATAAAAATTAGATAAATTAAGTTTTACCATTCTGAAAATTTTATAAAATGTTTAATAAATAAATAACTGAATTTAAAAACTTTTAACTGAAAATAATGAATAAGTGCAATAAATAATTAAATAAATATTTACATAAATGCAGTGCCAAAAAATCTCTAGGAAATTTCAATTTACTTTACCTCCATTTACGGCCTAAGAAGGTAAATACAAACTGAATATCAAATCATGCGATTGATGAGTTCGCATTAAGGACGTGTGCGAGTTAGGCTAAGTTGATGCTAAACCAAGTGGGAGATTTTTTGAGATTTTTTGCACTGCACACATTTAGCCATTTATCAACACGTATCGACATATCAATACATTATGGGCACAACTATATATGAGTATTTCTCTCATTTAGAACGCAACTTAGCCTAATTCGCACATGTTCTAAATAGTAAAAAATAACCAAGTCAAATCTTATCTCTGCACACATAACTCATCCTTAAGAAATCCGTTTAAACTTGATATCTTTTAGCTTACAGTATAGTTTTATAAATTTGATATATATACACAGTATATATTGCTTTATTTAGTAGATCACATTTTAACTATTTATTTTCGTAATTTTAAAGGATTTTGTTATGTTTAATTTTATAATGAACTACAATGAAGGGCCAGTTATCATACATAAATGCATATCATTCTCAAACGTATTATATCGATAATAATTCCAAATTTTAATTATTCATATAAAGACATTTATTTTAAACAGTAAGTTCTCTTAAACAGACATCTTATTGATGTCTGTTCCTATAAAACTTCTTTTAATTAGAAAATGTATATTTTTTTTAAATATATTTCACATTGTTCCCTTTAAGTTACACTGGCGGACCCGCATAATATTATGTGTATGCAAATTTTCTTTAATAATATTTATGAAGAAGTTTATTAATTAAATACATTTAAATTGTAATAATTTTATTTGTTTTTTATTGATTTTATTGATAATTAAAACGTTAAGTACAAAACGAGAGAGTCGCTTGAAAATACGCACAACTCAGTTAAATAAATTTATAATTACAAAATATCTTAGAAAAAACAACAAAAAAAATTTTGTAAACTTAAATAAATTAAAATTAAATATTTTTACACGAGTACGAAATTACAAATTAAGTGAATCATAAAAGGCTCTGAGAATCAAAGACTTTAGACACCTTTTGTTAAAAACAAAAAAAAAAAGTGTAAAAACTGAAAACAAAACTAATTTTAATAAAATATCGTTAAAATAAAGATCTTAATTTTTTGTATTTGGTTGTCAGCTTGCCATATTTCAATTATGTTGATATAGACAAATTTGATAGTTTAAAGTCTTCCGAGTTAAAAGGCAACATTTGTTGATCCTCAGAATTAATGCGCACCAATTGTTCGCTGTCGAAGTTAAGCAGGTTACTTACGGTCGGACCATTTTCACTATTGTTATTCACATTGCCAGCAGCGCCAATAGTATTGGAACCCTCAGGCATACCAGTGTTTCCGGCTATATTGTTAGCATCGT